GCTGCTCATTGTTGTTGTCACCGCTTTATGAGCCATAGTATCAAGTAAGTTATAAAAAAAAAAAATTAAAATGTGAGGTTAGTCTCCTTGAAACCCTTTCTATACTTAAGTTTTTTATTAAATGGTCGCAAAAAGCAGGCAAAAGAAAACTTCTTGGTCTAATATATTCTATTAAAATTTAATTTGGATTAGTATTACATAAATATTTTTAAGTATTTTTCTAAATTAAATTTTTTTTTCAATTGTCACCGATGAAAGATTAAAATAGGGTTCTTTTGACGCATAAGTAAACAAAATCTGTCCAGTGATCTGAGAATTAAATATAAAATGTAAATATAAAAAAACATTAAAAATTATTTTTGAATATTAAAAAAATTTTAAAAATATGTAAAAAAAAAAGCTTAAAATTGACTATGATTTTTGGGCTAACTTTTGTAATGGGTTTTTATTAATGAAAGTTATATACCTATTAAGAATATATTATCTAAAATTAATTTTTTAGACAATATATCAATTTTATTTATTTAGTTGAAGGAATTTCACATTTATATGGTTAATCAATTGTATAAATATAATTTATATATTATACTTTGACTTAGAATTATATCTTAATTTCAAAAGTTATTTAACTAGTTATGATGTAGAATTATTATTCAAAAAAATAATTATATAAAAAACATTAAATAAATCTTATTAACAAAACTAAGTACATAAAATTAAGTACATAAGGAATCTGTTGGATACAAATCGGTCGAAATGCTGTCAATAAAATGTTTTGTTGAATATTCATGTTATCGTTGTGTTACATCGAGTTGTCGGTTTTCTCTCTATGTCAGCATTGTCGCCGCCATCTTAACGCTTCTTCTACTCTAATAAGCTCTATGGCGTTTGCGAGACAGTAGTTTTGTATTCGTTTTTACTGTAAAAAGAAAATATCATCTTTGCGATTGTCGTATTCTGAGCGCTCAGTTTATCGCCGTTGGGTCTATATAATTTCTGAGATACATCACATTACCGTCCACAGCATATTGTACACATTGGTCAGTTACATGCATTCGACTTCAATTGATCCTTTCAATATTCAACATTATCATCAGCCGTTTCATCTAAAAGATAAGTATAATGCTTGTTCATCTATCTTTCTAAGACTCACTTGTATAATTTATTATTTGTTTATATCATCATCTTAGTGGCATTAGTATTAAGTGTCCCACCCATCTACATTGGCCAATATAAGATTTCTATATCTTGTATAATACATTTAATTGTTATAATTATATTTTGTAAAATTCATTCTACGTACAAACATACAGTCCACTCGCCTTATTCCTTATCCTCGACATAGCTAAAGACTTAAGACAAGATAAAACCACGAACGTGGTTAGATTTATGCTTGTATGGGTATAATTTTTATAGTAATGGAAATATTTCATTCGTTAATTTTATGTAGTAACTTTTTTATTACAAGCCATTTAGAAAAATAATTACTAATGTTTGTGTTGGAAATAAGAGTTGAGATTGATTTACGAAAAACATATGGAACTGAATACTTAAAAAAATTATAGTATCAGTATTATACGTCCTACAAAAATCAAGTTGAACACTTACAGCTGATTTTCTTTAATTAAAACGTAGATATTTAGGTACTTAGTTATTCAAGTACTTGTAATGGAAAATTCACAAATATTTTGAAAATTATAATTGGTTACTGGGTTAGAAAGTAAAAAATAAAACCCAATTATAAATAGTATAGGTATATCTAGAAAATTATAATACTATGATAAACTTATTAGTAACAATATAATATAAACCTAAATCTACGATTGGCGTAATTTATAAAACAAATCAAAAAATTAGGTACAGTTTACTTATAAATAACCCTTAGGTTTGTATGGTGGTCTATTGGAGACGATTATCCAACAAATTTTAACCGAATATAAGGTGATAAAAANAGACGATTATCCAACAAATTTTAACCGAATATAAGGTGATAAAAATTTACATAACTTACATCGCACGTAAAGCTATTAACATTGAGGTGTTAGATTTGTTTTGTTTTACTGTTTTTTGCATTGAGTTCATGTGATTTATTAAATAAAATATTTATTTTAAAATGTTTAAGNAAGAACTATAGAACTACTTTATTATTTTAATAATTTCTCCGTATAAATTACAATATTAAAATATTGAATATCAATTTCATACTTAATTTAAATATTATAATTAGTATTTATTCAAATATTATATTTTTAAATCAAAGAACCTAATCAGGATATAATTAAAGAAATAGGAGTTGATGTTGCTTTTGTAATTATCCATCAATTTCTTAGAATTAAACACTATCTATAGATTTACACCGAAGCGTTTCATATGATAGCGATTTTGATCACTGTTAGATATCTTTTATATTTTTTTTTTTACCATACATCTATCGATAATTATTATATTAAATGTGTTAATCAAAAGAATCTTTAATTAATGACAATATATTTATCACGAATTAGAAATAACATAGAATATTATTAAAATACATTATTTTTTAAGTATTAACTTTATAACATATAATTTTTATTGATAATTTATAAGTTTAATTGAAACATTAACAGAATAAATATCACAAACTGCTGGTTTTGTACCGTTATGTTATAAATAAGGATAGTAAAAATTATACGAATCTATCTGTAACTTCATACAGTCTTCTAAACCAAGATGATCATCTTTTAAACAATAACAGCACCTGTAGATACGAAACAGTATTAATTTGATTATTTTTGATATTAAACCATTCTACATTACCTTCGAACATAAGGGTCTCCAATTATTTCTACATCATAGGCCCATTTGGGCTGTGTATCATCAACAACAAATTTCACTTTTTGTGGATATTTAAAAGGTCGATCAAAACCTAAATTTAAATCTTCCTGAAAAAAAGATAATTTTAAACTTTAGGATCTATTTAATCAATATATGTTCACTTTTGTGCCTACATGCATATCTCGATATTTTTAATTATTCCGAGGGAAACAAAAATACACTATTGTATATAACTTTAAATAAATTTTTTTTTATTCTTTAATATCCCCCGAAAAATATTCAAGATTTATTAACATAATAAATAATTGTTTTTTTATTATTAATTAAAATAATAATAATGAAAACCTTAAAATATTTCAAAGTTAAAAGCATTTTGTTAGAATAAATAAAATATTATAAATATATATATAACCAAAATAAAATCTCAAAATGTTGATTACCCAGTGTTATCAAATAGTGAAGACAATAAAATAATATGCTTACTTTATAGAACTTATAACATTGCCCATTATCTGTAGTTATCGTGCCAGAGTTATTCTTTTTTCCGAAGAAGCATATTGTACCTTTTTTAAATCTATGTGTTTTAACTGGACGTAAGTAACACTTCATGTCTTCTAATTAATAACACATTAAATTGCAAAAATATTTATCTTAAAATTTTTAATCTTTTATAAAAATGTATACAAATTTCAGTATTAAATGTATTTCAATTTGAAATTCAAACAATTTCTAAAAAACCTATGGTACCCTTTTCTTGCTTACTCTTTTCCACAATGGCTGCTCCTTCAGAATCTGTTATGTTAGGCTCCGTCACACCAAGTTCGTGAACCTCTTTTTCCAACATTTCACATCCCTCCACAGTCTTGTTAATGTTATTGTCAACAATATTTACCCTTTCATTAGACACATTTTCTAACGTCGTCGTTGTTTTAGTTCCTGAATCCTCGTTGTGCATTGTGCCAGATTTCATATCGTGATTACTATCTGGACTTAAGTAACACTCCATGTCTTCTAATTAATAACACATTAAATTGCAAAAATATTTATTTTAAAATGTTTAAGCTTTTATAAAAATGTATACAAATTTCAGTATTAAATGTATTTCAATTTTAAATTCAAACAATTTCTAAAATACTTATGGTACCCTCTTCTTGCTTACTCTTTTCCACAATGGCTGCTCCTTCAATATCTGTCATGTTAGGCTCCGTCACACCAAGTTCGTGAACCTCTTTTTCGAACATTTCACATCCCTCCACAGTCTTGTTAATGTTATTGTCAACAATATTTACCCTTTCATTAGACACATTTTCTAACGTCGTCATTGTTTGAGTTCCTGAATCCCGAATATCATGTCTACTAACTGGACTTAAGTAACAGTCCGTGCTTTCTAATTAATAATACATAAAATTGCAAAAATAATTAATCTAATTATAGTTAATTTAAAAAAAATCATAAATGAATTTTTTAATACCGAATATATAAATCTACACTACATTTACATGTGCAAATAAATAGGTGTATTAATTCTACGTACGTTTGAAAACATTAGATATCGAGAGAATTTTTGTTGTCTATCGTGTTAAGCTAAATTTCATTAAAAAAATACCTGGACTAGACTAAGCTAAGATACTATACCATTTATATTACGCTGCTTTTTGGAAAGACAACACGTAAAGGCCCTTGCCAACCGTCGAAAGAATTTTTTTACCGTCATTGTAATTTGATTGTTTTCAAAAAATCGATGTATCAAAATACTTTTTTCACAATTTATTGTGACTGTTTTTAATAGTATATAGGCACAAATACTAGCTCTTCAGGGGGTCTATTTTTGAATTTTATATTGGTGTACTAATCTGTTTAGTATACTAAAACATGACGTTTTAGTGCAACTANAATTTTTGTTGTCTATCGTGTTAAGCTAAATTTCATTAAAAAAATACCTGGGCTAGACTAAGCTAGGATACTATACCATTTAAATTACGCTGCTTTTTGGAAAGACAACACGTATTCCATTAATCGATAGTGCAAATGATTCTCTAATTTAATGTTTATGAAAACTTTAAATACCTATTGTGCACTACTAAATTTCTGTGAACATTTTATAATTTTTAATTTTGACGAAGTCAACATAATCGTCAAGTTATTAATAATAATGACCAGTATTACAATTTAATATCAAGACTTTGGCACTGGTTAAATGACCAAATTATTCTGTATATATTTTAGTGGACTGCATATAGGGTGAATTTTGTTATAATTTAAATTAACAATAATAAATTATATATGGTGAAAATGTTTGTAAAGGTTGAATGAATGAATGGGTATTTTGACTAACGTTGGATATTTTGGGTTTGGTTGATTTGTGAGTAACGAGGTTCTATCAGGGTTGTGGAGTCCCTAGGGTATAGAACAACGAAGACAAGTAGACATAAAAAAATATCACTTTATGCAATTTTCATTAATAAATAAATTACGAACATAGTTTTTTAAAAATTCTATATTTGATCTGTTAAAATAATATTTAAGTGGCTTCAAATCATAAAAATACTAAATCGAGTTACCATGGATACACTAATGTTTATTTTTAAATACATGTTAGTTTGTTGTTGCATTTAGTCCAGAAGAGCTAGTCTTTTGTGCCTATATACTATTAAAAACAGTCACAATAAATTGTGAAAAAAGTATTTTGATACATTGATTTTTTTTCATTTTCATTGTTTTTTTTTTATAAAGTTCATTTTTGCTAAAAACAAAAAACTTGTTGATATTTTTATATTTATAACATAATAAATACAAATAAATTTAAAAAAACACTTGGTGTTAACATGTTTACAAGTTTGTTAGTCTTAATTGTTGTGAATTTGAGTCGGTGATTTTAAAAAGTTTTGTCTCCCGTAATCGCCTTTTTACACATAGAATGCATTTTATATTATTTAATAAATCACATGAACTCAATGCAAAAAACACTAAAACAAAACAAATCTAACACCTCAATGTTAATATTATTACGTGCGATGTAAGCTATGTAAATTTTTATCACCTTATATTCGGTTAAAATTTGTTTGATAATCGTCTCCAATAGACCACCATACAAACCTAAGGGTTATTTATAAGTAAACTGTATCTATTTTTTTGATTTTTTTTACAAATTACGCCAGTCGTAGATTTAGGTTTATATTATATTGTTACTAATAACTTTATCATAGTATTATAATTTTCTAGAAATACCTATACTATTTATAATTGGGTTTTATTTTTTACTTTCAAACCGAGTGACCAATTATAATTTTCAAAATATTTGTGAATTTTCCATTACAAGTACTTGAATAACTAAGTACCTAAATATCTACGTTTTAATTAAAGAAACTCAACTGTAAGTGTTCAGCTTGATTTTTGTAGGACGTATAATACTGATACTATAATTTTTTTAAGTATTCAGTTCCATATGTTTTTCGAAAATCTATCTCAACTCTTATTTCCAACACAAACATTAGTAATTATTTTTCTAAATGGCTTGTAATAAAAAAGTTACTGCATAAAATTAACGATTGCAATATTTCCATTACAATAAAAATTATACCCATAGAAGTATAAATCTGATCACATGAAACGCAATTGCACAAAGAATTTACTGAATTTTAATATAACAAACCATAATTATGATGATAACAATTTGTTTACGTTTTTATTTTAAAAATAGTGATTTCTTATGTACTTACANCAATTTGTTTACGTTTTTATTTTAAAAATAGTGATTTCTTATGTACTTACAAGTTTTGTTAATAAGATTTATTTAATGTTTTTTATATAATTATTTTTTTGAATAATAATTCTACATCATAACTAGTTAAATAACTTTTAAAATTAAGATATAATTCTAAGTCAAAGTATAATATATAAATTATATTTATACAATTGATAAACCATATAAATGTGAAATTCCTTCAACTAAATAAATAAAATTGATATATTGTCTGAAAAATTAATTTTGAATAATATATTCTTAATAGGTATATAAATTTCATTAATAAAAACCCATTACAAAAGTTAGCCCAAAAATCATAGTCAATTTTAAGCTTTTTTTTTTATATATTTTATAATTTTTTTTCAATATTCAAAAATAATTTTATAATGTTTTTTTATACTTATAATCATATATTATTTTATTAATTTTATAAAGGTAATTTATTATTCTTGAATTTTATAATTATGAAAAATAATTTGAAAATAAAAAGTTAAATTCAGGGACATTTTATTAAAATTATTATTACTTCAAGTATTTATGTATTTTTTATAAATAAATGATTTTATTGTTTAACTCGGGGAAACTTTGTACATCAGTATATATTTTTAGGAATAAGTTTCAGGTTCTTTCTGATAATTTCTTCGCACAAATATGTATCCTAACTGAAGTAAAATCATTAAAACAAATCTATACATAATTTGACTTTATAATAGATAATATTAGACAAACTCTATAATTTAGCTTCAATATTTTAAATATAATTCGTTAAAATCAATAGAAATTAAAAATATTAAAAAACGTTTAAATGATAGGTGAAGATGTTCGATTTGGCATTAATCATTGTTCGATAGCTTTTTCGATAAAAAATCCACGTGATAATTTTCCTCGTCGGCTGAATCTTCGTCGTCATCGACGCCTGAAGATAAATCATCAAATTCGCAGTAGGCTTTGAAAAAATAATTTTTCTCCCACGGAGATGACAATTTATCTGTATTATTCTTTATCGCCACCGGCGATTGTGATATTTTAACATGACGTCCTTCGACTAAACGACGAACTGCCAATCTCTTCAACTCCCTTCGAGTTTTATTTTGACGGGAAATCGGTTTTGGTACTTGTATGTAGAGTGACACTAAGTCCTCATCGCTCTGATCAACCATTTCGCTATCAGTTGAATCATCGGACCATTGGTCATCATCTTCATCGATATATAAGTGTGTGTTGGTCTGCTCTTCGTCATCTAAACACAATGAATGCACATGACAAGATTAAAATATTCAGAGAATTAGCTTTCTTTCTAATATGCTAAGAATTCTTCAATATTTTATAAGAAAAACTAGGAAAAAAATCCAGTTGATTTAGATAAAGTAAATAATTTTTTTTAATTAAACGGGAAGTATAAAATAATATATACTCATTTATAAAGTATCTAAATGTCATTCTTCATAATTGAAAATCAATTTGATTTTATAATATTCGACTAACTATTGAAAATATTATAAAAATTATGGTTTCGATTAACTTAATGGCTTTGCATATTTTCATCGTAATCTTATGAGTAAATATTCAAGATTGTTATTTTCAATAATTACCTAAACCCATCTTGTAATTAGAAAGAATGTTCGTGGCAAATTTTTTCGTTAAAACTGTTATGAATATTATCGTGGCAAGATATCCAGGATATATGTACCATTTGTGCATACTCATTTAGTTCGACGGTCTAACCGAGTAGTGGCAATTTTAATACATATGTTGCACACGAAATTCAAGTTAAAAGCTTTTACACATTTGTTATGATTTAAACAAACATAAATTTGCTAGGCAACTAGTGTTATCATTTAGCCAAGCTATTTTATAAACGAAAAGAATAAATAATACGAACACATGTACTGTTTATTAATTAAAAATTTAGCTCAAAATAAAGAAAACGATTTAAATTGAATTCCAACAAATCATATAAAAATTTGAATTTTGTATGTTCAATTCAAATATTATAAGGTAGATGTACATAAAAAATTCTGTTAGAACGAATTACGGTTTTGTATGGATAATCTTTTGATTACATTAACTTTCCGATGAAGTGTATTGATACGGCGTTCCTATACTACAGCATTTTGCATTTAAACTTACTTGAGTGTAGATATTATTGCCCAAGTGACATTATGTTTGATCATTGCGACTTGAATAATACATGAAACACTTAACCAAGATGGATTACTAGTATGCTATTATCACTCGTTCTGTTCAATGGTTTGGTTGGGTTTATTGTATTAAATTTAAGTTAATACAATGTACCTTTTTTCTTTCGTATGGCGTAAGTATATTGGTGAAAAACAAAACTAAATTAACAAAATAACAAGAATTAGAGTAAATAGATATACAATATACTAATAAATTTAACAATACTAATAACAAAAATAATAAAAGCTTATAATACATTTAAAGGTGAACGTGAGTCTTAGACAACCAATCTATTAGGGGGGGTAAGCTGTATCTTCTCGTAAACCACGGTGTCCCCTTTCTAGTAGTATTGTTAATACCTGTAAATCTGAACGCTTATGACTTAAGATATCACAAGAATATCAACACGAAGCCAAACAGCAAAAACCATGCGGCCGAACGTCGAAATAGCTCCCGGCTTTATTGATGAAAAGAGCCCTTCTCAGGGCTACCCAACTGACGAACGTAGAACACACGTAACAAAATAGAAAAATACAATGTATTTTAAGATGATAAAAGAAAAACTATCCGAAAATTCGATTTCGGGAAGTTATCCAATATTCTAGGAAAATATTTAAAAATGTATAATAGAATTTGTGCTGGCATGACGAATATATTGTTATTTTATGACATTATTGATAAATAATAATAGTCGTTCTAATAGTGAATTTAATTAAAATAAAACGTTAAATCTGACTTAGTAATTTGTGGCAGTTAACAATGTGTTCAGAAAAGTAATAATATTGATGAATAAAACTAGCAGTCACTGCTATTAATAGTTTTGTCCATCAGCTATTTATTGTTATTGGGAAATAACAGTGCTGAAATCACTACTTCTACTATTATTCCTTACCATCACTAAAAAAAAAATTGCTGCGCTCCTCAATCTTCTATTCTGTATAGTGTCTTGTTGTCGATTATAATATTAAATGTATACCAATTCGTACAAAGCTACTTCATTGGTATACATTTGTGAACATGGGTTGGCACTGAATCCAAAAATAATGACAATTGTAAATTATTATCCCAATAAATTGACTTTATTCTAATTCTAATATAACTTATTTTATTNTATTATAAGGTAGATTTACATAAAAAATTCTGTTAGAACGAATTACGGTTTTGTATGGATAATCTTTTGATTACATTAACTTTCCGATGAAGTGTACTGATACGGCGTTCCTATACTATAGCATTTTGCATTTAAACTTACTTGAGTGTAGATATTATTGCCCAAGTAACATTATGTTTGATCATTGCGACTTGAATAATACATGAAACACTTAACCAAGATGGATTACTAGTATGCTATTATCACTCGTTCGGTTAATATACAAACAAAGGTCATTCAGAGGATATACGTAAGTGGAAACAATCCAACCGCTACCGGATAACAGCTCAGACACCAGATCGATTATACCCTTCCTTTTCAAAGTAAATAACATCCGTATACCGGTGAAAACTATTTACTTCATTGTTTCGACTTAAAATTAGTAAAATTTGTTGATTAAATATTAAAATTACCAATAAATCTTAGATAATTTTGTGGGAATTCAAATGTATCAAATATTAGTTTTTTACATTGGAAATAACCTAGGAAAACGTAATCACGAGAAAAAAATATACCTAAAGCTTAATAATTCGGAAAAATTATCTTAATATTTTTTTAATAGATTTCAGCTTCGGATAAGAAAAAAGGATCCATTGAGATTATTATCCATTCACACCTAATTCCTCGATGACTTTTTTTTTCTCATCATTTAATTTTGTATTTTTAATCTTTTTAAAAATTACTCCTCGGTGTCATATTTATGGAAAAGATCAAAATCTCACGTTATCTATAGTAGCAATAAAACAGCTATATTGAAATAAAAATGTTCATTGTTTTTTTTTTTTATAAAGTTCATTTTTGCTAAAAACAAAAAACTTGTTGATATTTTTATCTTTATTACATAATAAATACAAATAAATTTAAAAAAACACTTGGTGTTAACATGTTTACAAGTTTGTTAATCTTAATTGTTTTGAATTTGAGTCGGTGATTTTAAAAACTTTTGTCTCCCGTAATCGCCTTTTTACACATAGAATGCATTTTATATTATTTAATAAATCACATGAACTCAATGCAAAAAACACTAAAACAAAACAAATCTAACACCTCAATGTTAATAGCATTACGTGCGATGTAAGCTATGTAAATTTTTATCACCTTATATTCGGTTAAAATTTGTTTGATAATCGTCTCCAATAGACCACCATACAAACCTAAGGGTTATTTATAAGTAAACTGTATCTATTTTTTTGATTTGTTTTATANGATTATTTATAAGTAAACTGTTGGGTAGAGTGTGGCACTCGTGTATAACCGGTTCGAACGTGTTAATGATTGGTCCGATCATCGTTACTTCCTCAGCGAGCGACACATCCTCTTTGGTACGTAAACAGTACACTCGTTCTCGCGACTACGATCTAATAGTCGTTCCTCAACAATTAAGTAGTGCGTTATCTTCTCTCGTATTCACAGCAAACGCCTCCGCGTGTTTGTGCTATTGATCGGCCATAGTTCGCCATATCTTTATTGTTTATGCTCATACGGTTGCGTCTTACATGTTTTGTACTGTATATCCGTGTAAAATAATCCTTCTCGCATATTACGAGTTAGTGGCATCGTTCACGTCGTCATCAACGCTCACATACAGTCCACACTGACCACCATTAATTACCATCTTAACTTATACAGCTAAGTGTTTAATTGTTTGTTTTATTTATTTTGTATATTATCTATTTTGTTCATGGCCGCTTTGTCGGTCAGTATAATATGTAAGTTACCCCTCCCCCTTTCCCTTTACTTTTAAGAATTTCATTTGTAGATCGTTAATATATAATACATAATTTATAATATCATAATTAGGTGTACCTATTTATTATCCCCTCTGATTTCCGCATTTTGATTTCAACAAAATAAACAACACCATCGCACAGTAATAGGCCATTCCCCTTTATTATTAAGGGGCTGCTTGTTACATAAACTGTACCTATTTTTTTGATTTGTTTTATAAATTACGCCAGTCGTAGATTTAGGTTTATATTATATTGTTACTAATAACTTTATCATAGTATTATAATTTTCTAGAAATACCTATACTATTTATAATTGGGTTTTATTTTTTACTTTCAAACCGAGTGACCAATTATAATTTTCAAAATATTTGTGAATTTTCCATTAAAAGTACTTGAATAACTAAGTACCTAAATATCTACGTTTTAATTAAAGAAACTCAACTGTAAGTGTTCAGCTTGATTTTTGTAGGACGTATAATATGTCGTACGTCGGTAGTGCCCCAACGTATACACAAAAGTTTAACACAAATTTATTAATGTTTTATATTTATACAGGGTAATTTTTTTATCATAACCCACTCAATTACTTACAGAATAATAATAATTAAACATTTTTTTTTTATTACTATCTTTAGTTACACATTATTCTTGAATTATTAACTATGTAATACTTTTTAAGTTCATCCCTTATGCCTGATAAGGGTGTCAACTTTGTTTTTTTAAATGGTAACACGTATTTTTAATTTAATAAAATGTTTGAGTTTTTAATTCAATAGTAAATGGAATTTGAATTTTTAATGAAACTTAATTTGTTTATTAGATATAAACATTTAAAGTTTCAAATTTTTTAGTTAATATATGGGTTTAATACACAAGGGATTACAAATACAGGTAGCTAATTGATTTTTTATGACATCGATATTAGCAGGTACACAGCATTGTTATTATCAATGATAGTAAGGTACATTGTTGTGAGTTTATAAATACACTTTTTGACAATACAAAAAGTTTATCTATTGATAGTCATAATTGATAATAAACAATCCGTGACTGTGATAGCAATATCATAAAAAACCAATTAGCTCCCTGTAATTGTAATCCCTTGTGTATTATACCTATATATTAACTCAAAAATTTGAAACTTTAAATGTTTATATTGAATAAACAAATTAAGTTTCATTAAAAATTCAAATTCCATTTTCTATTGAATTAAAAACTAAAACATTTATTAAATTAAAAATATGTGTGACCATTTAAAAAAACAAAGTTGACACCCTTACCAGGCATAAGGGATGAACTTAAAAAGTATTACATATTTAATAATTCAAAAATAATGTGTAACTAAAGATAATAATAAAAAAAAATTGATTTTTATAATAAAAAATTTTTTTATTTCATTTACCTTTCTCTCACTAAAAAATAATCTTTCCCGCGGTCAGATATCTTGCATTGATCTAATGCAGAAAGTAATTTAGGAGTTATAAAAGTTATAAGCCCTCGTGTTTTTGAAGAATATGATGAACCAGACAAATCATCTTCTGTTTCATATTCTGAGGAACTAAACAAATTTAACTCAACAACATTATCTAAACAAAAAATGATAAATGATAGAAAAATGATTGTTATTTATAAGTTTTCTTTATTACCTCGCCAGAAAACACGTAAAACAATTTTATTTTTCTACAAAACTAATAGAAAATTAAATTTCAAATAACTTTTACATGAAAATTTTTTTTATAACTTGAACGGTTATCGTATATACTTAAATTGCCGAAATATATGAATTTTACTGGTAAACATAATATTTATGGAACTTTTGACTTTTAGGAGGTAAATATTTGATTTATGAGTTTTATGCTAATAACCTTTTTTATGTAAAATAATTATATGTATAATTTCTTTTTTATGAACCTTTACGTAAAAATCATATATTTTGAGATAAAGCACAATAACTGAAAAACTACCCTTTTGATCGAATTTTCAACCCTCTTGCGGCACGTGTTAACGTCAACCTATCGGGACCAAATTTTGCACAGTTTATTTTTACATGTATTAGAACAATTTTTTGGTGCGCGTAAATCGAATTTTGAAAATTTGTATTTTAAGGACCACCCTAANTTGAATTTTGAAAAATTGTATGTTAAGGACCACGCTACTGCACACACACACACACACAATTCTAAGAACACGGTTAATATAAAATATTTGCTCTAAGTCCAGGTTTTAAAATAGCTATTTTATTTAAGAAACGTATCAAACACAAAGTCAAAAAG